GCCTTTCCACCCCCCGACCCCAAAGCAAAGAACACTTGGGCATCCACTGGAAGTTGGCCTTTACCCTCCAGCAGCATTTTAATTATAATCATGATTTCTGATGTGTTAGTCTGACTTTCTGGAAGTTGCTCTTCCATGTTGGTCCTGGCAAAAGCAGCCCTACGCAGTTTAGTAGAAATAGTTGGTGCTAGGAAAAAACTATCGGGGAAACAAAGCAAAAATATTTAAGCTCTAAAATCAAATGTTGCTAGGCCTTCTGTGGAACAGACCCATCTTCCCCAAAGAAAGTGGCTATGGTGAGAGTCTGTGAGCAACTTGGATTTGAGTTGCAGGTCATGTGATCCACTCTTTTACTGAAACTTGCTTCCACATGAAAGAAATCTATGCAGATTGCCTTAAAAGGAGACCTGCTGGTGTGCAGTTCTGCTCAAACTGGAAATAAAATAATTTTATGCATAATTTGGTCTGTTTAGAATAGCTCTATCTACTTTTTTTATTCTAATAAAGTTGTTTGCAAAGAATGAGGTTCTTATCTTTTTTTCCCTGAATGTGCAGAGAGTCCCTTTAGATGGAAATGGAAGGACAGAAAAGATAATTTGCTCTCTGCATTGAAGTGCAATTGTCATCTTGAGAAGCAGTGTGCTACTTGTCACAACCCAGTGATTTTGGTGCCTCGGCACGGTGGAATTTTCCCGCCACATGAGAGCCTCTTGCAAAAGTAAAGGTTTTCTGTTGCAGCAGAAGAACCTTGGTGCAAGAGACTTCCCGCCAATTTGCAGGATGCATTTCTTCTTTGCGGCACAGAAATGCACGGTGCAAAGAGTTCCTGCTATTCGAATGCAAATTTGTGTCCCGCTATTGGCCAGTTCTAAATTATTCACACGTGGCGGCTAGTGATTGGCTTGCTAGCAGTTTAAAATTTCGTGCGACTTCCGCCCAAGTCGAAGAACTTTGAGCGTGCTGCAGAGTGCCTCTAAAGAGATCTGACTTGCGGCTAGCTGATCGATAGACTGTTCACCTATCGATCTTTCTTCCTGTCGCCGAGCGCAATCCCAGACGTACCCTTTTCCCGCTGGCTTGATTTGCGGACGGATTAACTGGCTTGGGCCTCGCCAGCTGGAACAACTCACATAGTTGTTCAGACGACCGGACCATCTGCGTGGCAACTACAAGCGGCGTAAGTAAACGTTTTTGCAACCATTAAACCTTGTCTGCCTCTCCATTCACCAGCCCGCCCTGACAAACGAGCAATTTCTAAATCACCTCGAGTCGGCTCTGGCTGTCCGAGACACTACTAACACCTTTTTCCTTTTCTAATAAGGAAACAGAGTGAGAGTGCATGTATGAAACACTTAGCAGCAGGAAATGCCACTCAAGGCTTAAGTGAAAGAGAGAGACTTTAAAAGACTAAGTAGGACACACTGGTCTGTTTGAAACCCTTCTGATCTAATTGCCTAAGAGAAGAGCTTGTTTAAACCCCACTCAAATGCAAAATGCACTCGATTCATTGGATATATCTTGCAGGGGTGAAGTAGAGGAAAGGAACACAGTCTAAAAGCATAAGTAACTTGTTTCAGTTTACAGGGTCCTGCTCCAGGGTGGCCTGGCACAAAGATGCATACCTAATCAAATCTGTTCCCTGCTCTGCTATACCAACCACAGTTTCCTCTCCTCCCTGTCCTTCCCTCCCTCCCTCCCTCACCTGTTTCATTATAGAAGGCTAGTAGTTCAATGGTGGCTTCCAGAGCTTGGGCAGACGGGTGGCAGTGTTATGGGCTAAGTCTTGGTGCACAAGGAGAGGCCATATCTAGCCAAATGGGATCTAGCTAATGTATTCTTTTCTCTTTGCTTTACGGTTCAGGTCCATGTATTGTAAATCTTTTACACTTTATTTTGCAACTTACTGTATTAGGTACGTGCCTGGAATTTACAAAGGAGGCAAGCATAAAACCCCTTTGACTTTCTACTGATTTAAGACGGTATATAGCATTTAAAACAAAGCTCTTAGTATTATTACACAATGAGATTTAGTTATGTGATCATTATTTAGTTACTTTATATTGCTCATTGTAAAGCTCCAATTAAAGATACAGGCAGTCCTCAGACTTACGACACAATTGGTTCCTGAAAACCACGTCCTGAGTTGAAACGTTATAACTTGGAACCGATTTTCCTATAGAAAACAACATTATAAATGGGGGATTTGTTCCTGAACCAAGGCCCGATACCCTATTTTCACGAAAAATAACCCAGAATTTTGTACTCAATCAATTATAGATGAGTAATGTAGCTACATTAATGTATTTATACTGTAAATAGCAATCAATGATTTGGAAGGAGTTCTTCGAGGTGACTTTGCTGGACTTTTTGAAGAGCTCTTGGTTGGACTTTCCGAAGGGCTCTTGGCTGGAGTCTTCTCAGGAGTCTTGGCTGCAGGTTTTTCTGGAGTCTCGTCTGCTTTCTTAAAGAAAGTGTCCAAGGACGTTTGGACAGATGTTCTCTAGGGAGATGAGGGACACAGCGAACTTGTTCGCTGGCGTGGCTTGGCATCAGATCAAGTGTTGTCAAAACTGACATCATAAAGTTGAACTAGGGTGTCAGTTTATAAACGTAAGTGTGAAACATTGTAACTCGAAACGTTAAGTCGAGGATGTGCGGGCCGACTTCCGATCTCGCCTGGG